AGGTAATGGCTGTGCTGCTGTGGGGGGTCGTTTGTTTAATTTGGAGAAAACTGAATGTGTACTTGCCAAGTGACTTCATTGGTGTTCTTGAGGTTCTCTCTATAAAACGCTTGCAGGGCATTCTCTTGGGTCTTACTTTGTCCCTCGTAACGTTGAATACTGAACTGAGGTGTTGTGTTCAGTATTACCCTTGGAAATGCGTGTTTCTTTTCATCCAGTTTATTTAGGAAGTCTGAGGCAGCTGAAGCCTTAATGAAGGTTTTGCAGTTTCCTCAGAAAAATCCTGTCTTTGAATTTTGGTATATACTGCTACTGAGCACTTCAGCGTGTGACTGTTAAGTTCTTAATTGTTCCAAAAAGTGTTCTTGGGATCTTCACTTAAATAGGGCTCCCGATACTCACTGTAAGACTCGTGCAGAGAAGTTCTTGGAGAAATTCTTCTTTCCCTTTAATCTTCTGTAATCACGGATACCATGATCCACATCTCTTCTCTGACACTAAGGAACTTTTTAGTTCTGTGTTGCTAAAAGGAGTGATATTATTGAGCCTCTTTTGCCCCCTCCCCTGTGAGGGGGTGTACAGAGTGCAGGCGGAGCCCCAGCCTCCACTGCTGTCCCAAAGGTCCATGTTCTCTGCACGTGCAGCGTATGCACACCTCTAAGGGAATCCATGCGGACAAACCTATTGAAGGACCAGTTACCCAAGGGTAAGTATTTGGCTCCTTTGAAAATGTTATCTGGGTGTAGTAATTTTGAAGCACTGGTTTGAGCTCTGAGCATCTGAAGTACTTGCAGGACAGAAGTCACAGTCCACTTTGGGGTAACTCCTTGGTTGTAGCAGAAAGGTTTTGTTACAGATTAGGATATCTCCATAGTTCTTCCTTTGCTTTTCACTTGTATGAGAAAACAAAGTGTATTTATATATTCAAACATATTCATTCTGATTTTATGAGGTAATAACTTTTTTCTGTTGTTAATACCTGCCAGCAGAGCTGAAGAGGTAAAATAACTGTACTGATCACAGGCAGAGCACTTGGCTTCTCCCCGTTACTAAAAATAATAAGTTAGAATTATGCTTAGTTTTGAGACTTAATATACAGATAGCTTCAATATGCTTTCTTAGCATCAGTTGTATATATGCATCACAGTATCCTAACACCTTTGTTTTTCTCTTTCAGAAATACCCTGTATTACCGTATCTAGTTTTAGTATTGAAACAGTTCCTGTTGCAGAGGGACCTTAATGAAGTATTTACAGGTGGAATCGGTTCTTATAGTCTTTTTTTAATGGCTGTCAGTTTCCTTCAGGTAAGCTTAATGAAAAAAGGGCATGACAATAAGGAGGAGTTTAATCAATCCTTAAATTTAGTCATTTAAGCTATCCTGTTTGTGGGTTTGCACCCCTTTTTCATTTAAAAATAGACACATCCCACCTGTCTTCTGTTCTTTCTCCCATACTGGTACTTTTGGTATTCGAGATGTTTGGAACACCAAACACCATTAGTGTATCAATACCAGGCCCATGTGTCATTCATGGTAAAGCAATTTGACTGTTGTGTAACTTACTTGGAACAAGCTACATAGGTTGGTGTTAGATGCAGCTGTCCTTTAAAACACTGGTTTTCCAGGTCATACACCCTGTATGTGTGTTAATGAATGCAATGGAATTTTGCTTGTTTGTCTAGGGTTTTAAGCTGATATCAAATAAACATGTTTTACACCTTCCTCTTAAATCTAGGAGAACAAAGTGCATGAACTAAATCTATATTGTTGTGCCTGGGGAATTAAAACATTGCAGAAATATGAAGCAGACAAGTTCTGGCTTTATCAACCTCAGTTTTTTTTCTTGTACTAAGTGTTCTTGTATGACTGTGTATGTGTACGTCTGTACTTTTCCAGATTGTAGGTACTTTTAAACCTGAGCCTGTTTGCTGAGTGCTATTGTAGCTGACTGCTGAAAAGAAATGAAGGCAACAGGCATATCTTTTTGAAAGAAACCAAAATCTCTCCCAACCCCAGTTTTTTCTTACATTGACTAATAGTGTTTCCATTTGCTCCTGCAAAGAAAGAAGTTGGGGCTTGTATCTGTTACGGTTCTGAACTGGTTTTGTTCATAATCTCTCAGGCTGCGTACTTAACAGTAGAGGGGATCATTTATATAGCTGTGCACCTTAGAAGCCTGTATTTGTATTGCAAACCCAAGCTCATGAAGTGCAAATATCTTTGTTTTTTTACAAGAACGCTGCCATTAGTGCTGGAAGTTCACTTATTGAACTGAAAGGTCAAATACAAGAACAGTAATACTTGACAGCCTTATTTTTAAAAGGTAATAGTTTATAGAAGTTTTGATAGCATCTTGTTTTAAGAATGCAAAATTGCTTTATCAAAGGAAAATACTATATTTAGACATTTGCTTTATATATTAATTTTTTTTGTTATTGTATTTGGACATGTTTGCTGTGAGAGAAAAAAAGGCACTTAAAGGCATTTGAAACTTGAAGTCTTAAGAAAATTATTTTTTTTCTTTCTTCCTAATAGCTGCATCCAAGGGAAGATGCCTGTATGCCCAATGCCAACTATGGTGTTCTTTTAATAGAGTTTTTTGAGTTATATGGACGTCACTTCAATTATCTGAAGACTGGAATCCGAATAAAGGATGGTGGCTCTTACGTTGCCAAGGATGAAGTGCAAAAAAGCATGCTGGATGGCTATAGACCATCAATGCTATATATCGAAGATCCGTTACAGCCAGGTATCCTCATAAACCAAGATTTAACATACTGACTAAGAAAAAAAGTGAGGGGAATGCTTAATCTAGAGGAGTTAAATCAAAGAATAATGTAGAATGACCACCAAAAACCCAACAGAAGCACCTCATTCATGCCTGTGAACACAAGATGCACTCAGAACACAATGATTTTCTTTAAGACACGTTCCTAGCAAAAGTTGCCGCGTCACCCTGGAGCACGCCTGTACTGCAGTCAGGAGGTAGGGTATGAGAAGGCACGCCAAGCCACTGTCACGTGCTCTGTGGTAGCAGCAGTAAAGCCACAGCACACGGGCCTGGTGTGGGCTGGATGTACCTGTACGTACGCGTGGTCCCTTTCAAGCTTGTGCTTGCCTGTGTCACAGTTGCACTTCATAATGTACGTATGCTCTTACGCACTCTCTCCTCTTCAGTTCTGTAGAGTCACATACGTATGTAGTGATTTCATTCTGTACTGTTACCTGTAATATGCAGTACAGGATTTTATTTTTTTTCTTCAAGTATTGCACTTTTACCCAGAGAATTGCCATTTTGGACTTCTGTGCATCTAAATATCTATAGGCCTTTTAAGCTCTTTCAAATATTTATGCTTCGCTAATCCTGTTTACAAGAGGTAACTGAAGTGAGTTGGGACTTAAGGGCAGTTTCAAAAAAATATTACTGTCTCCTGTCTGAAAGGAGAAAACCACGGTTTCAATCTCATTTATTTAACTGTATTCTTATTTTAAGGTAATGATGTTGGGAGGAGTTCCTATGGTGCCATGCAAGTGAAACAGGCTTTTGATTATGCCTATGTTGTTTTGAGCCATGCAGTTTCCCCCATAGCTAAATATTACCCTAACAACGAAACAGAAAGGTAAATTTTATGAGTCTAAATCTCAGACATTCATTGCTTACATTTTTGTGTGCCCACAAATCAATGGTGGTGACGTTTGTGGTTTTTTCTCCCCCCCTGTTTTACAGTATATTAGGTAGAATAATTAGAGTAACGCAAGAAGTGGCCACATACAGAGACTGGATATCAAAGCAGTGGGGAATGCAAAGTAGGACAGAGTCCTCGTGTAATGGTAAGTTTTGACTAAGCATGGCTGATAGTGGGAAACTTCCTGCATATTTTGATCATACAGATTTTGTTGTTGCTTTTGCCCCACATAAGGCAATGTATACATTTTAATATGAATTTATTTTTTTGCTCAGTGGTGACGGGCTTTTTCTTGTGTTCTCATCCAGAAAATTTAGATTTGGACAAGAGTAAAAAGGCCCAAAATACCACAGCTTTATTCTACTGTGATAGATCTGGTCAGCACAGGGGTCTGTGAAGAGTGCTGGCTTGCAAAAGGAGACTTTTGAAGAACTTCCAATTTAAATTACACGTGTTGTTACTGTCACACTTCCTTTGTCCTTTAAATGCGGGCAAGGTTTTAAAACGAATTAGTGGGAATTTTAGCGTAAGTCTAAATCCTTACCCTTTGTTGTTCTTTTATTTTTCATTTTAAAGTTTTATATATCATACATGTATGGAAGCAATATTTAAACCAGGATTGACCATATAAGTTGAATAAGTTTTTTAAACAGAAAAATCCTGAAATATCAAGCATGATTCTTGTTACTAACAAATGGAAACACACAAAATCTAGCTGGACAACTTGTTGAAAATGTTCTTTAAAATAATTTCTAATTTTCTAATAATTTCTAATGCCCATCTTCGGTCTTCACCAGCCAGTTGCCATGCTCTTTTGGTGCAGGTGTATCTGCTGGCTGGAAAATTTCAAATTAAATTTAATACTATCCAGTTAATTTTAGAATGTTGCCTACTGGAAGTCTTCTCCTGTTAGGGATTTAATCAGAGAAGATGACACAACTACCCAGTCTTTAGGCTAGGGTGGGATTTTGTTTCTTTGTTTTCAAAGCTTTTGTTAGTGATTTCCCTCACTGTCCTTGTAAATTGAATGTGCTTCTGGGCCATTCGTGTTTTATCACTCTGTAGGCCCTTGTGGCACTGCTGCACCCCCTGGTAATGGTTAGTCCCACAAGCTCCAGAGTAGTACGTAGCTACTACCTGTTGTGACGTGTCTGTTAAACTCTATATGCAAATACAGCTAGTGGTGCAACAAATGTGTATTATATAAACCAGAGGTAACTCCTAGGTGTCTTATGTGAGATAAAACAGTAATTAAAAAAATAAAAATAGCCCTTTACCAGGAAGATAATGGTGACAGTTACAGTAGTTGTCTTGTAGATTTAGTTTAGATTTAAGTTCTGACTTTTTGTTTTACTTTTAATTTTTTTATTAATTAACGTAGAAGTTAGTGTGATATGAGAGTTCTGTATCTTGTATTTTCAGTGTAGGCTATCATACAAGCAACCAGACTTACTTGGAGTTCTTATGACCTGGCAGCTCCAGCAGAAGAACAGGAGTTGCTGAGTGTTGGGCCTATAGGAACAGAATTAAAACCTATGTATTTGAGTGCTGTTGAAGTGTGTCATGAAACAATCTAATTAAGCAGCACATCTGAACTTTGGTACTACCTTCTTCCATGTCTTACCTCTCTAATTTCCATCTTGAACTGTGGGTAATGCTTGGCGCTTTTCACAGCGTACATTAATGGATCTTGTCAGGAAACAGCACACCCTCTGCGAGGTGTTGGCTTGCTGCAGGCAGTACCTACACACAAACACACGCGCACATGCGTCTGCCGGTATTGAAAGTGTGTACGTGTGCAGATAGATGCCTGTGCATGTCCTGCTATATATAATATAATACCTGAGTGGGTATACTTAAAAAAAAAAAAAGGGGCAACATATTTAGCGGTTTATGTGTGGTAATACTTCTGTTTTGTTTTTAATAGGTAATGGAGTAACCTTGATAGTAGATACTCAGCAGCTAGACAAATGCAACAATAATCTTACTGAAGAGAATGAAGCACTGGGAAAACCTAGAAATAAAACTTCAGAAACACTTAGTAAACATTCTTCAAATTCTTCATCAGGTCCTTTATCATCATCATCCTCTACACTGTCCAGCTCTAGTGATGTAGTAAGTACTGGAGGCTTTCTGATTTTGTTTTTTCAATTTGTATGGGGCGGGGGATTTCTTGATTTGAATTGCCACAGAATACATTTTGAAAGCTCGGAATCCTAGTTAATTATTTCATCCAGAGTCCTAACTTGCATAAGATGCAATTATGCAATTTCTCTTATGCAATTTCTACACATGTAAGTTGCAGTCTGGTGTTGACACAACACATGTAGAAAGTGAATACAGTAGATACAAAGTTACATAGCCGTCTTTTATCTGGGAAAGCAGTATTTCAAAAAAAGAGACTCGTAGTCTTAAACTATATGGTTAAAAAAAAATAAATCTGTTTGGGAATTCTATTTAAAAAATAAAAGGCAAATCCTCAAATCAGAATCATGCATCAATACACTTTTAAATCTGTCTCGTTTACTCAGTAAGAATTCTGGATCGAAAGAATGTCAGTACCCATTAAAATGAACACACTTTCAGTTTTGACTACTTCTAGCTTTATTCTTAAGGGAAAACTCACTTGTAGGAAAACTCACTTACTCTTAAGAAAAACTCACTAATACTTTACATTTTCCTGAAGGATTCTGATGGAACACCTTGCAAAACCTCTAAACAATTGACTTGTCGTCAGTCTACCACGAACAGAGTGGGGTCACAAGAAGTGTCACTGGAATCTTCCCAGTCAAGTGGGAAAACACAAAATAGCCAAACAGCCAATACATCCAGCAACACGAACAAATCTCAGGTTTGTGAAATGTTTGAAAACAGTATAGACTGTATAGAATATTTGAATATTACACGTCCTCCATGGAAGGGTAGCTTGTTCTGGAAAGGAAACACTGCATTTTTCACCTCTCCTTTACCCCACCAAAAAGCTTTGAGCACTGATTGTATCTAAAATCACCTGGTTCTGTTTAGCTTACACATACGAGTTTTCAACTGTGGCTTTCCCAGTCTTAAAACAGATGAAACTGGATTGACATATTCTGGGAATCCAGATTTGCCAGAAGTATACAGCAGTGTTGCACCTATTTCCTGTTTGCAGAAATCATGTCAGTCCAGTCTTTGCTGCAGAATGTGAGAACTTGAGAGAATAATGAGACTTGCCTACACTTAGTGGAAAACAATTAGCAAAAATGTATGTTTAAAACTATGACTGGCTGCTCTGTTAGCTGTTGATACTTGTTAAACTGTCTTTCATTAAGCGAGATGCAGATTCCTTGCAGATACATGAAATTCCTTCTGATTTCCCCCTAAAGACAAATATCTTTATGATGAGATCTAGCAGAGCTTATGCATTTAGGGGATTTCTCATGTTGAGAAAAGAAATGCTTCTATGACAACTCAGTAATCTGGAAATACTACATGCCTCTATATACTTTGGATATATGCAGTTTAAATGTTAATACTTTTTTAGAATTTAGGACTCTCTTAATGTATGAAAAGTAGTCTGGAGTCTTCTGGAATACTATTCCTGAAAAGTAATTCTGAAAACTTGCCTGCTCCTTGCTGATGATCTGTCTCTAGCTAGTAATGAGACAGTTTACAAACTAGGCCTTGGATATACCATGAACGTCTGTTTGTGTTATTACGCAGAGCTAGTTGTGGTGCTGGAATGTGATCCGAGATACTCTACATCTGTAAAAAGATGTGGTATAAAATCAGTCCTCATCTTAAAAGAATGTTGTCTTAATTTTGTACAGAAGATACGATTTGAGCAATTTTCATCTGTCATCTTGGATTATGGACTTAGTGTTTCTGTAAAAACTTTTTTGATGGTTGTGAAATGGGAGCAATAGAATAGTTCTGCCCTTTTCCAAATTCAGAGTGCTCTGCTCTTTCCTCTTGACCTGCATAGTTTTGGATCTAGAGATGAACGTTTGTGTGCAACCACCAAAGTGAACGATTCGTGGTACTGTGCCGCTGTCACAGCAACAGCCTAGCTTCTTCTGCCGTATCAATTTTTTCAAGTGTAACACTTTCATGAGTTAACGTCCTCATTATCTAGATATAGGGTTATGCAGTTGCCACGCTTTTTTCTCTTTAACACTGATTTACCATGTTCTCTTTCTTTTACAGCATGGATCTGCACGGTTATTTCGCTCTTCTAACAAAGGCTTCCAAGGTCCAACAAACTCAAGCCACGGTACCTCAGTCACAAACAAACAACATCAAGGCAGCAAATCACACCATCAGTTTTTCCATGGCAAAAAGAGGAAACACAAGAGGGATGCGGCCCTTTCAGACCTTTGTAGATAGTTGCCTATTTTATGACTGTTCTTCTGTGTGCAATGATCTCATGCTACGGGATAGTTTGATAGTGACTCCTTGGATCTCTTCCGGAGCTTCAGACTGTTCAGACATTGATTAGCAACTGCATTTTTTTTTTTCCCAGCTCGCCACGGAACGGATCATGAAGATTGATCACTGCAAAAAAAAAAAAAAAAGAAAAAAGAAAAAAAAGAAAAAAGAAAAAAAAAAATTTAAAAGACAAAAAATTAAAAAAAAAAAAAAAGAGGAAAAAGGCTGCTCATTTGATAAGTCATATGCTACAACAGGGTCATTTAGGATATAAAAGCTTGAATGTAAAATAAATGTATTTCCCATCAGCTCATGCTGACCTGTAGAGGTAGTACTCAGTGTGTCTAGGGGGTGGTAAAAAACAAATAAAACACAAAAAATAGGAAAAAAAGGCAAAAAAATGTATTTTGAGGGAAACCCAGCCTTTAAAGGTGAAAGTAATTTGTGCATGATTTTTTTATTATTTTTGCATATACTTACCATTTTATTGTGTATATATAGATGACCATATAGGAAAACTGACATTTGTAATAGTGGATTTGTTAATACTTTTTACATAACATTACTGTTTAAATTGTAAACATAAATTTTTCTCAGGATTAGTTTGGAAAATAATCTGAATTGTCATCTTAACATCCATATAAAGAGACATTACTAGTTATATTGCTCAGAATTTCTTTTCTTGGCATTGAAAAGATTTAGTAGAACATTTGATCTGCAAAAGCTGTTCCTCGAAAGAAAGGTTTATGGTGGCAAATGAAGTTTTTCATTTGTATAATGTGTGCATGTACTTTGTGTAGACACTGAGCTTGTCATCTCGGAGAAGTAACCTTCACCTCGTTTTCCAGAGTGCCATCATTTCAGGCAATGGGGTTTTACAGTTGCATCTTTCTCTTCCTCCTCTTAGAGGTCTCTCCCTGACCCTTCCTTTTTTTTAAAGAAATATGAAGCCACTTGGGGTTTGTTGGTTTTTTTTTTTTCTCGTTTGGTTGGTGGTGGTGATTGTTTTCTTTTTTTTGTTTGTTTAAAAAAAACAAAACCAAAAACAACAAAACTCAGTTTGTTACAGACGTTTGCATTCCTGGGCTGCTTTAATCCCATGCCTCTTTGTTTGTGCCTTTCCTCCCCCTTCCAGGTCTGGGTTTTTTTGTCTTTTATATTTTTGCTGACTCCTGTAGGAGATGGTAACTGTTGAAGCTTTAAGTAAATTTTACAATTAAAGTGTTTTTTTTCTCACTCCCCTCTTAGGCATTTTTATATTTACACTTACTCATTTAAAAAAAACCAAACCACCTTCAAATAACAAAATATATTTTGTATTGCCTTAAAGACCCAAACCTTTCATATCTCATAGTATTTCTTCATTGACCTAGTTATCATTCAATTTAAACTCCACATTTGTCCGGTTCAGTCGCATTACGAGTCTAGGTTGCAGTAACTTTGGTGCCATGAGTATGAATGCAAATTAATTGTGTAATTACACTTACAGGCGTAGCTTGGAACAGGAGTTGGGACACTGCAATGGTAGAAAGTGAAGTGGCATTTACTTTCACGTATTTCTTTAAAGAGGAAAGTCTGTACTTGGCATACGTGGCTGTATTTAATGCAGCTGTTCTGGAGATGATGCTTTTATAAAAAGTACTATTAGCTTTTAGAAAAATTTTAATATACATTTACAGAATACTACAGACCAACCTGACCTTTAATGGGCACTGATGAGTGCAATGATTTTTAAAGTAAAATAATGCTAAAATAAGACCAGAACTGATGTCATCACTTAAATTAATAAACATTTTCAATGTGTTAAAGTGTTTTACTTCAAAAAGGAAAATATATATGTTCCAAAAATACGGAGAGTCGTACCATTTACTCAAACACTAAGCTTAAGTGATGTTAATTTGACAATTTTTTTTTTTAATTTTTAGATTCGTATTTTAATTTGATCAGATAATTTTATCAACAAGATGTTGAGTTTTGTTCATAGAAACTAGTAAAAGTTGTACCACATTATGCATAATCACAGTATTTATTTTGTTTTAGATTATTGTGAATGTGTAGACTTATGTTCACCGCTTAGGGAACAATTATTTATAAATTATATTAATCCAGTATTGTTAGCTGCTATTAGCAAAACTGTTCCAAAACTTAATACTTGCAAAGATCTGTATCGCATTTACCACACTGAAGTGTTTTTAAAAGAATCACCCTCATCGTTGAAAGCAAATGTACTCTTAGGGTGCAGATATTAGTGTTCCAATAAGCATGTGATAATTTTAAGGTGGTGGTAGCGGGAAGATAATCTTGATTCCATTGGGAATCTTAGGTTTGCCTCAATTTATGGTTTTCATAAATTTAATGGAAAATAGCTTTTCCTGGACTGCTCAAGTTTCTTTTTGGTAAACAGTATCTTTCTAAAAGAAAAAAAAAAAAAAGAAAAAAAGAAAAAAAAGGCATGAAGGAAAAATTGAGGTATTTTACATTGCCTCAAATGACCAGCATTGTATTCATAAAATACTGTATATCTTGCAAATCTTTATTTAAACAGAACAGTTGAACTGTTCGTTTTTCAATCTGAAGTAAAATACTTTCAAGACCTTTTAGTTTGCCTGCTCATTTGTCTTGTACATTTCATCTCTGTATTTGACTCAAGTCTAATTCCTTTTTGAGTTTCAATACTTTTGTGAAGATTTTGTGAATATATGAAAAATAAATGTTTAATCTAACAACTGCAGTTTATCACCATTCTTGACGCTTACCCTGGTTTTTTCTTCACAGTACTGTGGAGAGAGCAGACCACTCAAGGCGCTTCGTAACGTTTTTGTAGTCTCTGGGTGCCGGGCCCCTCCGCCCGATGTTTGGAAGCTGGCTTTGTTCAAGTGGGCTTGGTTTGCCGTGTTTCCTTCCAGGAGAGCTGAGGCAGTCTGTATGCCTGAGAATAAGTGGCAGAATATAGACATATAAAGGGTTCTTAGTCTATTATTTTTCTCTAACTTTCCTCTGCAGTATTCATAGGAAACTTGTGGAAGGATCCGTTCACTTTGTCAGCCGAAGTTGGGTTAGGGGTGGTGGTCCAGCTGCAGGACAGCAGCTTTTCAAAGCTGGACCTGCCATGCTGAGGAGGGCTTTGTAGAAATACGCAAAAGTTACTGTCAGCTAGAAACTGTGTTTAGCATAGTTCCTGAAGCATGGTTGGTATTACTATTAATGTTCTTAACTTTGGTTATCTTCCTTCCGTGTGTGAATCGGCAGGGAGATGTGCACATGCTGAAAGTTCTTGTCTTGCTGCTGGTAGCCTACCAAAGACCATCTGAAATACGTAAATAACCTGGAATGTTTATGTGTCGTCCTGTTTGACATTAGATTGATTTGTTAAGGGTGTTCTTTACTTTTTTCTTGAAGAGTAGTTCAAATGGTGTTCAGGTTAAAAGCTGTATATATATATTTATTTATTTTAATTGTTGGTCTTCTACCTGTGGCAGAAAAGAAGCTGAAATGTAAGTAAATCTTGCTGTTTCTGAGACATGATGTGATTCTGTTTACTGATCTCCGTGTTCTGTGCAGCTTTGTCAGAATTTACAGCTCAAGTTTTTCAGTGTATAATAAACTTGTTTTCCTGAAACTTAATCTTTAGAAAATAATTAGTAGTCCAATGGCTGCTGGCAACTTTTTTTAATGTAGTTTCGAAATGGACTTTTTCCATTCTACATCTGTAGTTTCCATGAGTGCATCCTAAATATAATGTGAGCAACTGATTAGAAAATAGTCTCATCTTGAAAATACATTGTAAATAAAAGCAGACAGCCGTTTGGCCTCTTGATGGATCTTAAAACTCATGATAGATGTTAAAACCGAATGGATGTTAAAACTCATGATAGATGTTAAAACTGAATGCGTGACTCCCAACTTATTTCCTGAAGAGTAAAAGCTGTAGGAGATTACAAAGTATGTAACTCAAGAAGGGAGTATATTTACCTATTTAGGGGCTGTAAAAAAAAAAAACCACCCACAACATTTAATTATTCCAGCTACTGTTAAAGGGCAAAAAGTAGTGATTATTTATTATGCTGACTCCTAGAATTTGATTCTTCTGCTTAATGATGCAAAATAATTTTCTAAGAATCAAGTTTACCATGTCTTGAAACTGTTTGTCTTGTATGTGCAGAATTTGAGAGCTTTATTTTCCAGCTAATTTGTATTGTTTCCACAAGTTTTCCTCAAAAATGTTTTCCAGGTGCAGTGACCTAAATGTAAATGTGTCTTGACTGTATTTCTCATCTGTAAGTTGAAACCAGCTGTACTGGGTTTGTGTGGCAAGGTTTTGGTAGTTGGGGGGCTGCGGGGGTGGCTTCTGTGAGAAGCTGCTGGAAGCTTCCCCTGTGCCTGACAGAGCCAGAGCCAGCGGCTCCAGGACGGACCCGCTGCTGGCCAAGGCCGAGCCCATCGGCCACGGTCATAGCACCTCCGGGGTGACGTAGTTAAGAAGGGGAAAAAACTGCGCAGCTGCAGCGGGAGAGAGGAGTGAGAGTGAGAGAAACAGCCCTGCAGCCACCAAGGTCAGTGCAGAAGGAGGGGCAGGAGGTGCTCCAGGTGCCGGCGCAGAGATTCCCCTGCAGCCTGTGGGGAAGGCCATGGTGAGGCCGGCTGTGCCCCTGCAGCCGGTGGAGCTCCACGGGGGAGCAGATCTCCACCCACAGCCTGGGGAGGACCCCACGCCAGAGCAGGTGGATGCCCAAAGGAGGCTGTGACCCCATGGGAAGCCCATGCTGGAGCAGGCTCCTGGCAGGACCTGTGGCCCCATGGAGAAAGGAGTCCCGCCTGAGGAGGAAGGAGCAGCAGAGACAATACGTGATGAACTGACTACAGCTCCCATTTCCTGTCCCCCTGTGCGGCTGAGCGGGAAGGAGGAAGAGAAATCGGGAGTGAAATTGAGCCTGGGAGGAAGGGAGGGGTGAGGGGAAGGTGCTTGAAAATTTGGTTTTAGTTCTCATTACCCTACTTTGATTGGCAATAAATTAATTTTCCCAATATTCTGTTTTGCCCGTGACAGTAATTGGTGAGTGATCTCCCTTACCTTGACCCACGAGCCTTTTGTTATATCCTCTCTCCAGTGTCCAACTGGAGAGTGGGTGATAGAGCGGCTTTGGTGGGCACCTGGCGTCCA